GGAATTAAGCCCCACCTGCTAATGTAATTCCACCTCCTCCTCTCTAAGCTCTTCCCACGTTTCCTTCCCTTTCCTGGAAACTCCAATTGGCTGCCCACATATTCCAGCATTATTGGCTTGCTGTCCTGCATCCTTGAAGACCCGAGATTGCTGTCCAGGAATTTCTGGACTGTTTTTGGTGACTGTCTTGCCACCAGGAGGCCATGGTGTGCTGTCCAAGAGTTCATTTTGCTGTTTAGAGAAACCAGTCCAAAGATACTTGCTGCCACCCGCCAGAGATCATCAAACTGCTGTCCCAAGGCAGTTAGAGGTTGCATGTTGCTGTCTACTTCCTCCCAAGCATATAAACACCTCACCTATTCTAATCCCCCAAATCCATTCACTGATTTGGGAATTGAAATCCATTAAATTTCCCTGTTGTTCCACCGTCCCCTCTTCTCCTAATTGCTCCAGCAAACTTCTCTAGTCAAGACCCGTGGATTGGAATTTCTTCTCAGCCTTTCTCTTCTCCATTAAGGATAGACTTCTCCCTCAACTGTCTCTAGATCCTTGTCCACTAAAATCTGAGAATTCCTCTCAGATTTTTGTTTAAAGTCTGAAACTGTTTTCAGATTTTGAGAGAACAAAGTTGGGAGTTTGTTTCCTTTTCAAGTGCAAGAGAAACTTCTTTCTCTTTGCCACCACTCAAGAGGCCTACCAAGTGCTAAGGAAATTTGTTGCCAAGCACCCATGAATGAAAATCCACCTCTCCATAGCTATGCCGGCGTTTCTGTTCTACATCAGTATTTCTGTTGTTAATTCTCTTTCGAGTAACATGAGATCATAACAAGCATCAATATTGTGTGGAATGTATTAATAATTTGTTACTGTAGTTGTTAGTTGATATAAGAACTCAAACCAAAATATAGTATCTTAAGAGCTATTTTTTTTTTATTGTATTGTTAGTGTAGATGAAAGAAATGTCAGGTTTCTAAAATTTTTAGGTGTTTAATTGAGACTAAAATAAATGAAAGTAGCTTTTTAAGAAATTTAGAATACCCTCCAGAGCCAATTTTTGGTTTATGCATAATTCATCCAAATTCATGTCGGCAAATTTGAATTAAGCCCTTCTCTCCTGTGATCTCCAATGTCACATGTTATCTCATTCTCAAAATGATGTGAACTTCATTTTTGTGACCTCATTCTAGATGTCGTGCGAAGCCATCATCACCTCAATTTTGTCATGACCCCAAGTAGTGGGACAAAGGCTTGTTGTTGTTGTTGTTATTATTGTTGTTGTTGTTGTGCAACTATATCGTTGTGACCCCATCACCGTGATCTCATTCCTAACATCCTTTGTCTCTTCAACCCCATACAACTCATCCTTGCACTCATCATCTCTGAGCCCCATCTTGTGCTAATAACCTCGACTAGGCAACTCCTCACCACTATCAATGCCACCTCCATTGATCCCATCGTCTGTGACCCCTGTTCCCAGCATGCCCTATACTTAAATCAATATGTTCATTTGCAGCCAATAAAAAAAAAGGAAACTTTATTTTATTACTAACCATACAATTTAAATAAATCAAATTGTAGTGCATTCAATTTTCACTATATTTGAATGCCCATATATCCTAAGTAAGTGCAATCAAATTGTCTCTTAGTTAATGGCATTTTCAATGTCAGAGCATATTCAATAAACCACTTGGCCAGCACCTGCTAACCATGATTTAGCCTACAGATTTACGGTGCATTTTGATGTCAACTTTGCCTCATAATATTTCAACTCCTTTGTATCAATTTGGTCTCTTAATGAAATTGATTTCTTTGAGAAAGGCCGTTTTGACTATGTGTCCAAATTCTTATATTGAATATTTGAGCAGCAAAATTTTTTTAGAAGTGACCATTTTAGGCACTCAGTATTGTTTGCAATGGCATAATTTTCCGTCTAGGTTTGCTTGCACGGAAAAGAAAAGGGGAGTTGAAGCGGGTTAATGATCAATTGCGCCAAATCAATGAAACACTCAGAAGACAAGCAAAGATAGAATCTCATGCCCCTGACTTGAGCTATGCCCCGGTAGGCAGGTTAACAGCCAAGGAAGTTGTAGATCCTCGGAGAGAGAAACTAATTTCTAGTCTGAGAACCGGTAAAAACTACCTTAGGAATCAAGATTTTGAAAGGGCAGCTGCAGACTTCAAACTAGCTCTGGAGCTTGCTCAGAGTTTGGGAGAGCATGCGGAGGAAAAGAAGGCTGCAAGAGGTTTAGGTTTGTTCATCTCGACTGCAATATTTTTTTTGTTATGCAAAATTACAATTATTGCTCATCCTTAAGGCAAGCATTTAAGTTAATCATGTTTTGTAATAGATGATAGAATATATTTTCTTTCAAAAAACATGTGATCTAGCTAACTTAACCAATATGCCTAGTTGCTTGTTACAGAATGAAAAATACGTTACGGCTAGCTGTGTTTCTGTTGTGAGCAGAAATGGTGCAGCAATTAGTTAGCCTTCTTGTGAGTTGAGAAGTTTCGTTATATAATGCAGTTGGAAGCAACTTGACCCTATGATTGGCAAGAGCCTCATATATTTGCTACACTCATTGCAATTCTTAGCTTCCATAGTTTCATTCCAAATTTAATTGGCAGGAGTCTTATAAGTTGCCACGCCCATAATGTTATTGCTAGAAATTGACCCTTATATGTTACAGTCACTGTTAAAACTTTCTTTAGCTTATGTAGTTTCATTCCAAATTCTTGGGTTTATGGTCATGGATGCCTGCAATCAGCCATGTAATTAACAAAATGGTTTAGGTGACAAAATTATTTAATATTGATATCATTTTCTTGATTAGCCATATTTGAACTTTTTTTCTTATTATTTTTATTTTTGGTCATTCTTGTTTGGGAAAGTGTTTATTTGTCGTCCATTGGAAAATTATGGATGACCTCTCTTTTTTCTATTTAAAGCTAGGTTGCACTCTAAAATGGACGGAAAGTTAGATCAATAAAATCTTTATGTTATTTCTGTATGGTATTAGAGCAATTTCCTTTCTCTTTTTTTTCCCCTCCAATCTTCTCCCTTCCATCCCTCATCAAGTCCGGCAATAAAGAAAACATCTACTTTGAGCCTTGAGGTGACATCCAGTCCCGGTCCATCTATTCTAAACAATGACACCGACTTATTAATACTAATTCTCTTCCTGAAATCAACCATAAGCTTTTGCGAAATTTCAATCAATGATGATGTTTGTTTATGAAAAGGCAAGGCAGATTATCTCACAAGAATGTCTTATACACCCATTGAAAAAGATTTCATGTTTTAGCCATGCAAAATAGAAAATAGTATGGTGATTTCATAGATAATACATATCATGATAAATGAAATTAGAGAAAATTTCATATACTATAAAAATCCAAAGAAATTTGGGATGCTGCAAAAGATAGTTTCTCAAATGTTGACTATACTTAGACCATGTTTGAGATCAAGAGCATTCTCCATTACCTATGCCAAGACAATGACATTGTCATGTTATATTTCAACTCTTTTACTAGTTATTGACAATAATTGGGCATCTTTAAATAGAATGGTGCAGTGTTTGAAATGACCTCTAATTATAGTATGCTTATAATAAAATTAAGCGGCTCAATGAAACTTATATTACGAGTCCAAGATCACTCGTTATTACCTCATTAAGGCATTTAAGTTTTTTTTAAATGATTATGATCAAGAGGATCAATATAGACCATACGGTGGAGTGTTTTGAATTATGACCAAATTTACTAAAATGATCATCTTAAAAGATTATAAATAGGGCCCTCATTCTCTACAAAAAGGAAGATTCAAGGACTAAGAGTACTACAAAACTCTATTGCATTTTCTGGCTATCACTGTCGACAATCATCATTAGCAATTGTCACCACCTTCTTCAAACTCTTGGCAAGATCTAATTCTATTGTTAGATTTTAGCTTTTCGCATGCGGACATCTAAATTTATAATCCTTACCAATGGGAATCAGTCAATTGTTCTCAATTCTAAATATTCTCATCTTCTTTAACTATGAGGAAAGGATGATTTTTGTATCTCCAATTATATGGTGGATTATTATAATTGCTTAAGGCCTTGTAGTTTTTTCCTTTTTTGGGGGTTTCCATATAAAATATTTTTGGTCTTATAACTTTAATTTGTGCAAGCTGAATTTTTGTCTAAAACTAAGACATAAAACATGCACTCTACCAACATATTTTCTAGCACAAAACATTTAAATTCAATTTTATTTGATTAAAATTCTAATTTTATGACAAAGATAAAATTTTGTTAGACCGTACATCACAATCAGTTTAACCTGAATTATGTCTCATCAGTCAAAGCTAAACGATGTCGATTAGAGGAAAAAAATGAAAAAAGGATAAAGATAATATTGAAAATTGGGCAACTAAAATATCGATCAAGAAATATTCAAATTTATGTGGAAATATCTAGGAAAATAAAAAACGATGAGGAAAGAAGAAAATTCGATGCTAATGGTTTGATCTAGTCCTATGGAATATACTATAAAGAGACATTTGCACTGTTTATTAAACTTCAATTTTATACTTTTATTCTTTACAATAAATTTCGATGCCTCTGTACCTACTTTATATTAAAAATATTTATCTGCATTGTGATCTTGATGTAAGCTACATGATTGTTCCTCCTGGGCTTGAGAATCAAGTCAACGTTGATAAATTCTGCAAGCTTCAAAACGTCTTATGTGGTCGTAAACATCACACATGGTTTGATTTATTATTGAGGTACTTAAGGCGTATGGATTCTCTCAATGTCAAATTGATCACATTATATTCCTATAACATATATCAAATTACAACATAATGTTCGTATCACATATATCAAATTAAAAGATTGTCATACTAATTGTTTATGTTGATGATATTATTCCTATTGGAAATGATGGGAAAGAAATAACCAGCTTAAATAATCTTTTGGTAAAGAATTTTGAAATTAAAGATTTGGAATAACTTGAGTTTTTCCTTGGCATAAAAATTGTTTAATCAAGGGATGTTTGTGTCTCTCAATAAAAGTACATTCTTGATCTCCTTAAAGAAATTGGGATGATTGGATATAAACTAATGAATGCATTTATGGATCTAAAAATTAAGATGAGTGTTGATGATATTAAGAATATTGCAAATGATGTGATTGTTGACCTCTGATTAAAAAAAAAAAGAGAAAAGAAATAAAAAAAAAAATCCCTCAAATCCTCACCTGCCTCCCCACGTCGCACGATCCAGTGCCGCTCGTCGCACGTCGAGGCCATACCGAGCGTCGCGTCTCGCACGTCGCTTGCACGACTCACTCGAGTCGTTAAAAGGCTCAAGGCAACGAGGCCTTCGGCCTCTGCTCTTCCTCCTCTCGCCTTTTCTCACGCACTCTTCTCCTCCGACCCCCTCTGCTCTATTCGACTTCGCTCGACCGACGACTTCCCTTCCTCTTGGATCGGGAGTCCGACATTTCGATCAGAAGCGCGAACGGGAGCTCGCCGGCTGTGAAGACAACTTCCTACCTTTCGATCGCTTCTTCGATCCTTCGTAGCTGGTACGACCTTGCTCCTTCCGCGACTTTCCCTTCCATTCGGACCGGAAGTTACGACATTTTGATCGGAAGCCAGGGGAGCCCGCCGACTGTGAAGATAACCTTCTCCCTTGCGTTTCTTCTGCCCGACTCCTCCAGGGCTGGTCGACTTCGCTCCTTCGGCCAACTCTACCTCCCTGTCCGATCGCAAAGAAGAACGGGAGCTCGCTTGTGGAGAAGGTAACTTTCTCCCTTGCACGGTCTTGCTCGGCCGAGTCCTGTAAATAAAAAAAAATGATGAAATGATGATTTTATTTATATTAATTTTAATTAGTTGTAATTAATCGAAAGTTCTTTCTCGTGATCGGGAGGGGTAATTAACTATAGGGGCTTGCGCCTATAGGAAACCAGAACTCAGATCATAAAGTCCTCACAAAATGAGGGCGAAATCTCTGGGTAGTGTCTTATCTACAAACCCATCTGCCTTCCAAAATTTACCTCGGAACTTAGTTCGTTAAAACTCCCTCGCCGGATAATCAAAGCGAGCGGAGGCCGGGGCCGAATTTTTGGAGCCCACAGTGATTGAAATATCAAAAGGAAAAGCTCCTAATACTAAAATAGTAGGTTGTGGAATTAAAATGTTCAAAAAGATAAAAAATAAGAAGCTTTTTTATAAAAATTATTTTAGATGTAAAAATCGAAAAAATTAGAAAAGATATAAAGAGATCCGTAAGGAGTTCAAGGAAATAATATGTGATGCAAAGAATTTAGCTTTTAATAATTTATATACTGTATTAGATACTAAGGAGGTCGAAAGGAGTTAGCCAAACAAAGAGATAGGAGAAGTAAAGATTTAGTTCAAGTGAAGTATATTAAGGATGAAGATCAAATAATACTTTTATTAGAAGAGGATATTTAATAAAAATGCATGAGATATTTTGATATGCTTTTAAATGAAGATTATGAGAATATGATTAATTTTAGTGACTGTAGCACCCTAAATGAAAATATAGATTTTTGTTCTTATTGATGTATTAGTAAAACTGAAGTAAGCGAGACTTCAAAGAAAATGAAGTGTGGAAAAGTTGTTGGACCTGATGATAATCCGATAGAGGTGTGAAAATGCTTAGGAGATGAAGGAATTTCTTGGCTTACACAACTTTTCAATATTATTTTAGAAGACAAAATATGCCAGATGAGTGGAGAATGAGTGTTGATTCTTATTTTTATGAATAATGGCGATGCATAAAAGTGTACGAATTATAGAGGAATTAAGTTAATGTGACATACTTTAAAACTTTGAGAGAGGGATATTGAGCTTAGGTTACGACGTGATACTATTTATTCTCAAAATTAATTTGGATTCATGTCGGGTAGGTGTACTATGGAAGCTATATATTTATTGAGAGGTTTGATGGAGAAGTATAGGGAGAATAAGGAGGATCTACATATGATATCTATTGATTTAAAGAAAGCTTATGATAAAGTTTCAAGAGAAGTGCTATGGAGAGTTTTAGAAAAGAAAGGAGCTGATAATGATTATACTCAAGTCATTAAGGATATGTATGTAGGATTTGTTATTTGTGTTCAAACACAAGGAGATTGGACCAAGTATTTTCCTACTTTAGTTGGATTACATCAAGGATTAGCTTTAAGCCCATATCTTTTTGCTTTAATCATGGATGTTCTTATTAGACATTTGCAGGAGCATGTGCCTTGGTCTTTTGGTTTTTGCTAATGATATTCTTCTCGTTGATAAGAGTAGAGAGGGAGTTGAAGGTAAACTTGAATTATGGAGTTCAATCTTAGAGTATAAAGGTTTTCATTTGATTATATCTAAAATTGAATACAGGGAGTGTAATTTTAGTAAGTGATGGATCTAATGGAGGGATTGTGACTCTGGCCGATCAAGTCATTAATAAGCATACATGTTTTAGATATCTCTGATCTATCGTCCAGAGTGATAGTAAAATAAATGGTAATATTATTAGTAGAATTCAAATTGGATGGTTGAAGTTGTGTAATGCATCAAGCCTGTTGTGTGATAGAAAAGCACCCGTCAAATGTAAGGTAAAATTCTATAAGATGGGGGTGACACCTGCGATGCTTGGCCCAGAATGTTTGCCATTAAAAGAGAAGCATACAATTAAGTTAAATGTTGTAACGATAAGGATGCTTAAGTGGATGAGTGGATTTACTCTTAGTGATAAAATGTGAAACGAGCATATATGTAAAAAAGTTGGAGCTCCAATGGTAGAAAAGATTAGATAGAGCCGCCTTAAATGGTATGGTCATATAAAACGTCGGCCTTTTGATGGCCCAGTTAGGAGAGTATATGTATTATATTTGACCTATGTTAAGAGAGGTAGAGGTAGCCTTAAAAATACTTGGTTAGAAAATATTAAAAATGACATTTTTTATTAGATTTAAATGAGAATTTGACTCTTAATAGGACACAATGGAAAAAAATGATTCATGTAGCTGATTCCATGTAGTGGGATAAAGGCTTGATGTTGTTATTATTGTAGACTTATGAAAAAGCTATATAACTAATATATATTAGACCATATAGATTGTATATTTGTTTCACAATCAGTATGGTTAACAGATTAATGAACAATTTCAAGCACGCACATAGATACTATATTTTGAATACTTCAATATTTGAAGAAGAATCTTAATAAATGACTATATCTTAGGAAAACTCCAAATAAAGCTGTGGAAGTTCACTGATGCATTATAGGCAAGTTCTAGTAATGATAAAAGAGTAAATTCTTGATATTACACAAATGCATTGGAAAACTTGGTTGCTTGGAGAAACAAGAAACAAGCTATTGTGGCATGAAGCAATGCTGAAGCGGAATTCAGGGCTATGTTACTTGGGATTTGTAAAAGAAGATGATTGCTTGAAGAATTAAAAAAACAATCTAGTAGTCCAATACAGTCATCATGTTATAATAAAGCTTCTATTAACATTGCAATGAACCCAATCCTTCTTGATCGGACTAAGTATATATAGATTGATTGCTATTTCATCAAGGAAAAGATTGGTGATAACATTATCCAACTTATGTACTCTCTCTCAAATCTTGAAACATCTGATTTTCTCATTAAGCCTCTTCACCACAACTTTGAGCGTAAAATCTAAGTTGGAATGTTTAATATTTACCACCCAATTTGAGGGGAAATATTGGTTGCTGGTAGAATCCATGGATTCTCATGTCGATCTGCCATAGGGAGCTTCTATTCTCTCTTTATTTAAGCCACCAATCTAAGCTATCATTATATACTAATTTTTGTAGCTATATCTAACTCACCGTCTAAGGAATTATTTATTCTTTTCTTCTTTGTGTATCATTAAACGTAATAAAAATTGAATTCAATATTCATTTCATATGTTATTGTTTTTTTTTTCTGGTCATTATTGCTTTGAAAAGTGATTATTTGTTGTCCATAGGAAAATTGTGAATCATCTCTCCCTCTTTTATATTTAAACTTTGATGAAAATTAATTCAATGAAGTCTTCCACTTATTTCTACAAGTTGCTATTATGGAGACATCTTTTTGGATGATTATAATTGGGGCTCATTTAGTTGCTTGAAGCTAGAAAACATGTTATGAGAAATGATGAATTTATTAGCTTCCATCATTTCGATGGATGAATTTACAAATTAAAATTGATTCTCAGCTCTGCAAAAACCATTTAAATCCCTCACAAGTGATAATTTTATCTTCTACAAGATATTTTATATCTACAAGCAATGAAATGAGCTCTTATTACTAATAAATTGGTTAAATATTGCCGTACTATATTCCCTGAAATGGTCATATGAAATTATTTTTAAAGAAGCTTTAGATTTAAACATAATATATGTTCTTTCTGTTTAGTTATTAATTTTTTTAATTGAATTATACTTTAGGTGCATCACTACAAAGGCAAGGGAAATTCGAAGATGCCATGTTGTACTACTCCAGGGTTTTAGCAATATCCAAATTAGAAGGTGAGGATTCTGCGACTACAGAGGCCTATGGTGCGATAGCTGACTGCTTTACTGAACTTGGAGACCTGGAGCGAGCAGCAAACTATTATGATAAGTACATTGAAAGGCTAGTAGCCAACTAAATTTGGCTCAGGTACCCTCACTTTTATGGAAATTTAGCTTTTCTTTCGGTTAATACCACTATAGATCGTAAGCACAGATCTTTTTTTTTTTTTTTTTCTAAGCAAATTTTATCTTTCTAGATTTTTTTCTCAATAAATCACAGCATTTGGCACCCAGGCTAAGATTAAGAGAGAAACATGCTGAAAGATGCCAAATTTATGTAAAGGCTCATTTAATGGGATGCATAAACAAAAGTGTTTGGAATTCTTTACTTTTAAATTTATTTTATTTTGTTCAATAATTGAATTTGAAGTCTGCTGTTGGTTTGGAGCAGAATGCTTAGAATTATGCGAAAACAACTTATTATTGCTCTTTTTGTTGCTTGCAATTTAAAATCACATTTTGGAAAGTGTTAAATTTATTAGATTTAGGCTTTGTTTGGGATGGCTTTCTTGCTGCTTTTTAAAGTAGCTTTCTAGTTCGTTTGGGATAGTTTTTGACTATTGTTTTTTTGCCGCTTTCAAGAATTTTTTTTACTAAAAAGTTGCTGTAGAAAATAATAAGAAAGCTGTCCAATGAAATTTTAGTAGTTTAGTTGATTAAAGGGTTTTTTTTTAAATATCGAGTGTTAAATTATAAATTATATTTATGAGATTGGAGATTCCATTAATGGGTTATGGCTGCTTTCACAATAATTGATTGAAGTGAGAAATCAATATTACATTCAAACTCAAAATACCTTCAAAAATTTTAAAATGGGATGATTATAATTTTATACATAAAATGAATAAAATTATAAGCATTTTCTTTAAGTGAATTGTTGTTACAAGCAGCCAAATAAGCCCTATGACAGTGTATTGTCGTTGGCAGATTTATGGATGGAGATATATTAGGGAGGATAATAAGTATAAATGCAAATGGGCCGTTTAGTGAGTCATTTGTGAATCATGTGAGCTTATAATTTATTATTGTTATTAAGTTATTTTGGGTCTTGTTGTGCTATACATACCTGTTTAGGAGGAATTAGACTATCCAACATCAGTGAATGAAACTTTGACTGCTCCCTCTCTATTTGTGGAAAAATTATTCCGTCAGATTACCTGACGTAGAGCTACATCAGGTAGCTTTATAATATGTCGTCACGTGCACTTACTTTTTACCGCGCGGCCCGACGACCTGACTCGGACCGAATCCGAGATTACTATGTTCGCGTATTGCTCGGTATTTGCTCGGTATTGCTAGGTATTGCTTGACAATAACGAGAAATACCGCTATGTGAAGACCAATACCGAACAATACCGAGCAATACCGAGTAATACCTAAAAGAACTCGGTATTGAACTCAATATTGCTCGGTATTGGTCTTCACATAATAGTATTTTTCGTTTTTGTCGAGCAAAATCGACCAATACCTAGCAATACAGAGCTACGCAAACTCCCGGTTCCGTTTCGGGTCGGGTTGTCGGGCCGCGCGGTAAAGAGTAAGTGCACGTGGCGACATATTATAGGCTACCTGATGTAGCTCTACGTTAGGTAACCTGACGGAATAATTTTTCCTATTTGTGACTATCCGGAGTTGTGGGCATTCTTGAATCGCCGAATTCTTAATCAATCTTCAAAGCTTTAAGCTTCTTTAAATTGCCTACTTATCATGTATTTTTGAGGCTTTTATGTGTTTTTCTATATATTTTCAAGTTTTGTTTTTATTCAATTGTGCTCTTGTTAACTTTCTCGTTAGATTTCATCTCTTAGGCATCGTTTGAGACAGCTTTCTTATTGCTTCATAAAGCAGCTTTCTAGTTTAAAAATAAAATTTTTTATACTAAAAAGGTGCTTTAAGAAGCAACAAAAAAGCCGTCCCAAACGAAACCTTATACTCACTTGTTTGCACGTCTTGACCTCCCCATCACTAGATTTGCCTCCACTTACCTGTTGTCAAAGCAACTCTAGAGATTCGCCCAGATCCAGCATCTTCTATGTTTGATCCCCGGATACACCTTTATCTTGACCATATCATCCAGATCTGATTGACTTTGCATAGCTCTGTTCGCCTTCCCCTACGTCCCTATCGCTATCCCTAATTTCCACTAGATCCCTCCATTCTTCTCATCCAGATTTGATTTTTCCCTCGCCAAGTGCAGATCTGCATCGATCTCATCTGGATCGCTCTCACCGTGCAATCTCATTCTCATCTTCAACTCTTTCTAAGAAATTATTATTTGTGGTGTCCAAACTTAAAAGTTACGTCCGGACTCCAATTAAATTAAGATATGTAGATTTCTTACTTTTTTTCAAACGGCCCGATGACCCAACCAAGTCAAGTCTAAAAAATGTTGAAATCATTGTAGCCCAATGTTTTATGTTATCATAAAAAAAAAATCAGTGAAAGCTCCCAAATATTTAAGATTTTACTGGAATAAAACTTTTGGTAACGATTGAGAAAGAAAAATGAGGAATGAGAGATTAAGAGAGAAATTGGTTTGGAGGATGTCATATATTTTGAAGGGTTGTTGAAGAAGAAGAATAAGTTTAACGGTAAGATGTAATTTACTCACCTAATAATAAAATTTTAATGTACATTATAAGGCGATATGCTTTTTGTTGAGTTTAACTTTTCATTAGATAAATTTATTGTAGAGGCAAATACAACAAAATTGTGTTCATCTTCAAGACAGATCAAATTCTCAAACAAGCATTAGCCCGAATGCCTCGACGAGGTTTATAAACGTGGCAAAAAGGGTTTGTTTTTTTTGTGATGTTTAACACATTAATTTAGAATGTATTCTTAAAAAATTTATATATCGAATGTTGCATTCTTCTATTAATCAATTTTGTAAAATTTTATGTAAAATAATAATTTTTAAAAGTTTATTTATTATCTCATATAAAATTATTATGTATTTTTTCTTTTTTTTTTTGTTTATGTGATACTTTTGTACATTTTGATTTTCTGTATTGCTGTGCATTACTATATATTATCGTGTGTATTATTTTATATTTTGTTAGGTATTGTTGTGTATTGCTAAGTATTCAAGTTTATATGAATTCATAATATTTTATTTATTCATTTGAAAGTTTTGAGCTTTTACATAGTTGTGTATTACAAAGATTATTTTAAAAAAATATGATTTTTTTTCTAATAAGCACAATGTATTGGCATTGCTAAGTATTTAAGTTTATATAAATCTACAATATTTTATTTGTCCACTTGAAGTTTTTTTTTTTCATTTGAAAGCTTTTTAAGCTTTTACATAGTTGTGTATTAGAGAAATTATGTTGGAAAATGTGATTTTTTTTTTTTCTAATCACACTATATAATTCTAACATAATTTATCTAATATACAGCTACGTAAAAGCTAAAAAGCTTTCAAATGATCAAATAAAATAGAGCAATACATAAAATACATAGTAATGTACATCAATACATAATAAAAAACACAATAATATATAGTAATACACATCAATACATTATAAATACGTAATAATGCATAGCAATATATAATAATATGCAGCAATACATAGTAATACACAATAATATATAACAATACAGAAAACTACACAATAATACATAACACTACACAATAAAATACACAATAACAAACACCAATATACAACAGTACACAAAAATATATAGTAATACACAACAATAAATTGCAATACAAAAAATACATAATAATGTAGTATCAAAATAAACAAAAATATCATATAAGCAAAAGCTGAAAAAACATAATAATTATATAGGAGAAAATAAATGAATTTATAAAAAATTATCATTTTACATAAAATTTTACGTAATTGATTAATAGAAGCATGCATTTTGTTGCATTTAATATATAAACTTTTTAAGAATACTGTTGGGTCCTGGAGTATTCGCAGTGGTAGAGAAATATAAAGTTTTAGCATCTTAGCGTTGTACGAAAATTCGACATGCAATCAGATAAGAGAGAGGGTGTTGCATTTATAGGAGACACAAATATTTTTATGTGGAAAGCCCTTGAAAAAGGGGAAAAAATCACGGGGCCTAGCCCAATTTGAATGAATCCACTAGTATTGCAGTTGATTACAAATGAGGCCCTTCATTGGAGCAAGGCCTTAACTTGATGTACATCTTATAAAGTACATTACATCATGAGAATACAAAGAATCAATACTGATGTGTTTGTTTGGTTTGAAGGACTGTAGTCGGTGGTAGAGGAGGAGTTTCTTTCCTACTATTCTTCCTCTCTTTTCCTCTTATTCCTTCTCTTTCTTGGGTCCCCTCTCAAGAGAAATGAGAGGTCTATTTATAGTATTTTGATGATGGCATGACCCGTAAATATGAGGATGATCAAGGGCAAATAAAGAGTGGTTCGGATGGATGGTCGATATTGAATTCTTTGATCGTGGATCATTTATCAGACATTTGAAAGTCTTAACGATATCAAAATTCGGCGATCCTAGGCTCGTTGGATTCGTCTCGTCGAACCGCTCGATTCGACTATAAGCATGTCATGTTTGCAAACTGTTTGGTAATCCAAATTATGGATTGAACCTTCCGAATGTGCTTCGGGTCTTCAATTTGGATCCATTTGGGCTCGGATAGAGTTTAATTTGGTGTTGTTGGGTTCGTATTTCAGAGACAAACAGTTCGGCTATAAGTTTGCTGAAATAGGAGTTCAGATGATCCCAAATTTAATTTTTGAAGTTTCCAACTTGATTTTTGTCTCGAGATTTGTGCCCGATCAAGATAATTTTTTGATGACATATCAAATACATTATAAGTTAATGCGCGTGAAAGATCATAAAAAACACATAAATTGTTGTTGTACAGTTTGTAAATTCATCATCGAAGCCTTTGATGTTGTTTGAGGAGTTGATTTACTTGAAAGACGAACACAATTTTATTGTATTTGCCGCTGATAGATTTTTCTGTTGAAAAATTAAACTCAGCAAAATGTATATTGCCTCATAGTATACATTGAAAAATAATTATTAGGTGAGAAATTACTTCTTACTCTTAAGCATGTTCTTCTTTTTCAATGACTTTTTAAAGAATGCGATGTCCTCCAAACCAACTTCTAACTTCTTTGCCCGTTACATATTTTTTTATCTCAATAGCTACTAAAAAAATTATTTCGTAAAAATCTTAAATATTTGGGAGCTTTCGTTCGTTTACGTTTTAAAATATAAAAACGACTGGGTTTCAATGATTTCAAAATTTTTTTACGACTGGTAGGGCATAGTCATTAAAAAAAAAAAGTAAGAAATTTATGTCTTAATTTAATTGGAGTCCGAATATAAAATTATGTTCAGATTCTGCACATAATAATTTTT